TTATATTAAAACTGCCACGTGAGACTTTCCCTTCAACTTGGCCATGCACTTCCCATAATTTCATTTAAAACTCCCTTCCTTTATTATATAATTTTGTCACCACATCATATAAAGGTAATTTACGCATTTAATATTTAAACTATTAGCTGTGGTTCACTTTAGTATTTTATCTTATAATTGTTTTTAAAACCATAGTTTAGTTTAGTTTAAATTCGTCGAATTCATTTTTAATAATATATTATCACCTCATTGATTGAGAATACATAAAATCATATATTGTTCATTGCAACCTATATAAACAATACGTGTGAACAAAAGATTATGCTTAATCATCATCCAAAACCCTAACAGCTTTGGGTCAAATCATGCCACGTGTCTCGTGTACCTACATAATATGCCCAAAATATAAACTAAACTGTTGCACTTGATTGAGACTAACTATCTATATGGAATATATATCAATCATTGTAAATTAATAAATACTTAATGATAAAAATTTAAATTGGTCATCGTTATAATATATGAATATTATGTTATATAATTAATTAAGTATTATTTTACTTGATATATCTAAAATTGTAACATTTAAAAATTACAGATTCCAGTTGGTAGTGATCAGCGACGGAGTTAAGAATTTTATTTTTTGTGTCAAATTCAAAAAAAAAAATTGTGGTGCCAAGAAATTTACTTTGAGATGTCAAATTTAAAAGGATATACATATTAAAGTGTTAAATTTGAAATTTTCAAAAAAAAATTGGAGTGTCGTATGACACCCCTCGTATAAGACTGGCTAAACTAGTGGATCCATTAAAAATCTCTAAGGTGAACATGTGTTCACCTTCAATTTTAAATTTTCTTCAAATAATTACATATTTTAATATTTATACCCATTCAAAAAAATTTAATTGTATTCACTATATATATAAAATTTTATATGATTAATATATATATAATTAATTTTAAAAAATAGATCCGTCAATCAAGGTGAACTCAATACATAGTAGTAAAGTTGTATGAAACGAATAGAAACCCTAGTCTTGCAAGGCACTTTATATGTACTATAAAAGTTCCCATCAGTCAAATCAAATATATTTTTTCAAATATCACAGTGATGATAAAACATAATTTTAGGACATAAAATATTATTTAATCTTTTAATTTTTGATAATTTATCATGAAATAAGGTTAACGCCTTAAATAACATCACAAAAGATGTCAACATCATTTAATCACTAAAAATTAAACAATAATATTATAATTTATTTTACTTTGAAAAGGATGAAAATAGTTTTATTAACAATATAAATTGTTTACCATGTTAATTAATAATAATATAATCATTTAACATGCATTAAATTACCAAATCTAAATCTCTATCTCCCGTTCACATAGATTTAACACTTCCTTTAATAATTTTTAATTAGCTGGATAGATAAGGTGTTTACGTCTACGTAAGAACCACATACACACCATATTTTTGTCATTTGTGTTTGTATTTTTCAAACAGCAAATAAATCGGTTTAACTTTTTAATTAAAAAAATAAGGTTTAAGAGTACGTTTGGTTCACGGAATGTAAGATTACCAGTGGGAATGTAAGATTACCAGGGAATGAGATTACTGAGAATGTTGTATTTTGTGTTTGGTTGGCTTAGCAGGAATGTAAGATTATCATGTTTGGTTAAAAGAATAAAAGATTATTGAAATGTATATTTGACCAAATTGTCCTTATTATATATTTGTTTTTAACAAGTTGGAAAATATTTATATATTTTCTTTAAAAAAATTAAATTCATAAAATTTATATAATTTTTTTTACAAAATTAAAAATATAAAAAGGTTTAATGAAAGTGTAAATTTTTTTAACCCCTGGACTTCATATAAAATTTTAATTATAGATTTTTTTTTTGTAAATCTAAAATAGTTTAAGAATAAATTTGTAATTTAACATTCGTAGAATTTTTATTATTCATGACAGAAGAATGATATTTTTGAAAGAAATTTTTTTTAAGGACATTTTAGTCCAAAATGCCGGTAATCCAACAATACCTAAGAAAAGGGAGGTAATGGCATTCCCAGTAATATACCCCAAAAAATATACTATTGATAATCTTACATTACCGGGAATGGGATTCCCGGCTAACTAAACGGGGGAATGTGGATTCCATTCCAATGGGAATCCCACATTCCCCCATTCAAACACCCCCTAAGGGTTACCTTTATTCTGAGTGGTAGACTCAATTTATCATTTTCGTTCCTATCGTATTTTCGCATCAATTTATCCCTCAAAGTTATTTAATTGCATCATTCTATACCTTATCTCTGACTTAAAACCATAAGTTATAAACTGTAAAGTAGGATTTATGATTTAGGATTTATGAGGTCATGATTTAGGGTTTTAAGTCAGGGATAAGGTATAGAATGATGCAATTGAATAACTTTGAGGGTTAAATTGATATGAAAATATGATAGTGACAAAAAGTAATAAATTGGGTCTGCTACATGAACATAAATTACCATTTTGCCTTAAAATTATTTATCAACTCCCAACTATATAGCAATTTCAGGTATAAAGGCATAGCCATTATTAGGTTCACAAGTGTTTCACCTTCTTTTGTTCTTGTATAAGTGGAATGATTATGCCTACCAAGTTGAACAATATTGACAACTTCAAGGACTACCCATAACTTTTTCCTTTTTATCCTTTACCATGTGAAATGGAATAAAAATCTATGGATAACTCATTTGGTCAAATTATATATAAGGTCAGTGTTATATGTGTATTTTCAAATTTAGTATCTCTATAATAATTTATTAAGATCTTGTGGTAATATTGGCATATACATTATAGCATAAAATCAAATATATTTAAATATTGAATATCTTCCGATAGATAAATAAAGAAAGGATATAATATAAGTTTTGTATAAAAATAGATAATTTTAGGGTAAAGTACACAAATGGACCATCGACTAGAGGATAATACTTTATTGAGTTTTTTACTATTAAAAGGTAAAAAATAATCCCTAACTATAGGGAGTTGCTTTGTTGAGTCTATCGACTATTAAAAGTTACAAAATGATCATTCGACTATTTATTATGTTCCAAACTCCTCATTTTTGTTTAAATTTTGACGGTAGTCTGAGCTATACGTTAACATACTTACTGAGATATTATAAAATCTTAATGACTATAATATCTCAGTCAATATCTTAATGTCTAACTCAGACGATCGTTAATTTTTTTAACGGAAAAATATGAGTTTGGGACATAATAAATAGTCATGTGACTATTTTATAACTTTTAATAGTCAAAAACTCAACAAAGTAACTTCCTATAATTAGAGGACTAGTCGATGGACAATTGTAGATTTTACCCCATAATTTTATAAGTGATGATTATAATTATAGATATACGTAGAGTAAAATACAACGGATCTAGTTTTACGCAGCACATGATATACTGTCAAAGCAGTTGCAACTTGCATGTCACTTTTCTTAAAACATTTTCACGCGCCGTCTACGACACGCGATTCACTAGATCGACCTGTTTCTCCCTTCCATATGGACCCACGCGCCTCCCCTGCTACAAGCCTACGATTATCAGTCCCTGCAGTCAAGTGTTCCATAATTCAATTGGTCCATCTACTATGATTATATTTAATATTTAATCCCTGTACTTTTTTTTATTAGTACTCACTATACTTATGTAATATATTTGCTTTTATTTTGTTAGTTAGCCTAAATAATTAATTATTTTACTAAAAATTCTGATTATATTTTTTTCTTAAATGTAATCCTTCTATTTCATCTTTTTGATATACATCTTTTTCTATTGAAATGAGTAATTTTTTAAAATTAACATTAGTAATTTTAACCATATTAATTATTTGAATTAAAAAAATAACATCATAATCTATATGATCAAATTATGGCATACTAAAGTATTGGGAATAAATCCAACTTTTGATTATAGTAGAGGGACTAAAACTACTATTTGGTCAACTAAATTAAATATTATTTTCATTTTCTCCAGCATTGACTCACAGACCAATCAGGTCACAGTTTCTGATATCACAAGGTTACCCAAAATGAGGGGCCAATTAGACGCCAGGCTTCGGTTTTCTTCACTTTTTGTCTCTGGGTTTACTATATATATATATGAATATGATCCTATTATATAATATATTTTTTAAATTTTATACATATATATTAGGATTTCCTAACACTAAATGTAAATTACATTTTTAAGACAGTTGGATTGGAAAAAATCAAATGCTATATTAACTCTTTTTTTTTTAAATAATATCTTCTCAATTCTTATTATTAATTATAACATTTGATTTTTTATCATCCAACGATTCACAAAAGGTGTAAATCTAAAAGGTTTTATACTATTTATCTGAATCTTAGTTATATATATATAATATAAATTCTAAATCCAATCTTAATTATGTTTAGAAGAAAGGAGAATGAAGAGTTATAAGAAAAGGAATGAGAGTGCTCTTAGTGAGTTTAGAATCCATCGTCAAAACAAGATCAAAATATGTCATTCTTGACTGCACCAACAATCAAATTGTGTCAATCTTATATTCAGGGGTGAACATATGATTTTATGTTAGAGATTGAATTTATAAAATTTTAGAATAGAAATAAATTATTAATAAAAAATATTAAAAAACACCAAAAATATATGAAAAATTAAAATTTTCATGGACCACCATAAGAGTAGGTTTACAGGCAAGATAGAGCTTAACCTAAAGCTTTCAACCTAAAACATATACATACACATACATACATAAACAATAAATAAAAAGCTTCGAAGCTACAGCTACTGTTATGCTATACCAAGACACACTCATCAAACACCCCATGCATACGAGTCCTTCCAAAATACAACAGCTTTGATTGAATTAGCAAAAAAACAGATGAACCTTTCACGGACTCCATCATATTTTATCTCTTTTTTTTATTCAAAGGTAAAAATCTCTTAGATTCCCTAGAAAATTTGGGGTTCATTTTTCTCTTTTGCCGAGAAAAAACAACCCCCAAATGGAAATTTAATGCCTTTTACACCCGGTTCTCATCACGGGCTACTACAAAACAACGTGTGTGTTTTGTATCTCTCTCTCTCTCTCTATCCCTATAAAAAAACACAAGCTTTGCCAGAGTTTCTCATACCCTTTTCCCCCTTGATTCTCGAGGAAAGCCTAAGTGGCTAAGTTCCTCTAGATTTTTTTTGGTCCAAAAATGATCTCTTTCGGCTCCTCTGTTTTTAAAAAAAGAGCACCGAGGGACTCTGTTTTTCTCGTCCTCTTCGTTTCTTTGCATTGTTTTTCATTGATCTCGGTTCGGGTTTTGGCGCAAACATCGCCTGTTTTCGCCTGTGATGCTACTAAGAACCCGCAAGTGGCGAGCTTCGGTTTCTGCGACGCGTCGTTGGTGACCGATGCTCGGGTGTCCGACTTGGTTAAAAGGCTTACATTGCAGGAAAAAATCACTTTCCTTGTGAGTGACGCCGGCAGCGTTAGCCGGCTTGGGATACCGAAATACGAATGGTGGTCCGAGGCTCTACACGGTGTCTCCAACGTCGGTCCGGGCACAAAGTTCACCGGCTTGGTCCCCGGTGCCACGAGCTTCCCTCAGGTCATCACCACCGCAGCTTCCTTCAACACTTCTCTCTTTGTAGCTATTGGCAGGGTAAACAAAATAACTCAATTCCTTTTCTTTTTTTTTTTGTATAGTATTTTTAAGTCGAATCGATCCGAGTCGAATATCATTTCAGATACCAATGACGGTTTTCGAATTCACGTATCGAAAAATTTAATGTTGGTAGTGGGAAAGTAGTTAAAATTTGAAAAATGATGAACTGGATGTTGCTTCATAGATAGGATTCCATGATTGAATTAATTATATGTTTGTTGAAGAAAGTAGTTGATTAATTAATTTTTCAGGTTACCAAATGCTGAAGAATAAAGACCTTATAAGACTTCGTTAGCCTTTTTCTAAACTCCAGCTTGCATTAATGACTAGGGGTTGCTTTCCTTCTTCTTCGAACTCTATATTTAAATCTTATGTTCGGATTCGCCCCGTCGATCCGTACAACGTTGATATTTGAGAATCAATGATAATGCAGGTGGTTTCAACCGAAGCTAGAGCAATGTTCAACGTTGGATTGGCAGGGCTAACATATTGGTCACCGAACATTAACATATTCCGAGACCCGAGGTGGGGAAGGGGGCAAGAAACACCGGGAGAGGACCCGTTGCTGTCCAGCAAATACGGATCGAGTTACGTCAAAGGTCTGCAACAAACCGATGGCGGCGACCCTTCTCGGCTCAAGGTCGCCGCATGTTGCAAACACTATACGGCCTACGATTTGGATAACTGGAAGGGCGTCGATCGTTACCATTTCAATGCTGTGGTAGTTTTAAGTCCGCGATGCGATTCGGGTTTCTTTAATTTCTTTTTGTTTATGTAAATTTGAAAAGTCATTTGACTGGCCTTGGGGGATGGTTAGGTGACACAACAAGATATGGATGATACATTCCAACCACCATTCAAGAGTTGTGTAGTTGATGGAAATGTGGCGAGTGTTATGTGCTCTTACAACCAGGTTAACGGTAAGCCGACTTGCGCAGATCCCGATCTTCTCGCCGGAGTTATTCGAGGCCAGTGGAAATTAAATGGGTATATATTCGTTTCTCGTACCATTTTCGGGACCGATATATATATGTTGTATGCAATGTTTCTGTTTACCATGCTTTTGGGGTTGGTGCAGGTACATAGTTTCAGATTGTGACTCCGTAGATGTTTTCTACAATAACCAGCATTATACCAAGACGCCAGAGGAAGCAGCAGCCAAAGCAATTTCGGCGGGTAACTCATTTCTTTAGGATGTTACTCGGATTCGAGTATCTGTGGCACGGAGAAATATTCCGTTAATTGTGAAATATTATGGATGTTCTTAGGGTTGGATCTAAACTGCGGATCATTCCTTGGCCAACACACCGAAGCTGCTGTGAAAGCCGGGCTTTTGAATGAGTCGGCCATTGATAAGGCCATAGCGAACAACTTTGCCACCTTAATGCGACTGGGATTCTTCGACGGTGATCCCAGCAAACAACCTTACGGTAAACTTGGCCCCAAAGACGTGTGCACTCCCGAGCATCAAGAGTTGGCACGTGAAGCCGCGAGACAAGGGATTGTGTTACTAAAAAACAAAGCCGGATCGTTGCCTCTATCTCCGACTGCTATCAAAACAATAGCAGTAATCGGACCCAATGCTAATGTCACAAAGACCATGATCGGGAATTACGAAGGTAATGCAACCCCATTGCTTGGAATTACAAAATAACATGATTAAGGTTATTAACTCGTAAAATTCAAAACGTTTTTGCAGGCATTCCGTGCAAATATATGACACCATTGCAGGGTCTAACGACATCGGTGGCTACAACATATGTGCCAGGCTGCACCAATGTGGCTTGTGGCACTGCCCAAGTAGACGATGCTAAGAAAGCAGCCGCCTCAGCTGATGCCACTGTACTTGTGATGGGCATAGACCAGTCGCTTGAAAGGGAAAGCTTCGATAGGGTCGACCTTCTTTTGCCCGGACAGCAACCGCTTTTAATAACCGAAGCTGCAAAGGCAGCAAAGGGACCCGTGATTCTTGTCATAATGTCCGGGGGAGGCTTCGATGTATCGTTTGCGAAAAATGATCCGAAAGTCACAAGCATCCTTTGGGTCGGTTACCCTGGCGAAGCCGGTGGAGCTGCCATTGCGGATGTAATTTTCGGGTATTATAATCCAAGTGGAAGGCTGCCGATGACATGGTATCCACAATCGTACGCCGATAAGGTCCCCATGACAAACATGAACATGAGACCGAATCCGTCAAATGGCTACCCGGGCAGGACATACAGGTTCTACACTGGGGAAACCATTTATACATTTGGTGATGGGCTAAGCTACACCACATTCAGCCATAAATTAGCCAAAGCACCTACACTAGTATCCATCCCCTTGGAGGAAGACCATGTTTGCCGCTCATCCGAATGCAAATCGGTCGAAACAGATAAACAAAGTTGTAAAAACCTAGCGTTCGACATTCATCTTCGAGTTCAAAACAGAGGAAGACACGACGGAAGCAACACGGTATTCTTGTTCTCCACTCCCCCATCGGTGCACAATTCACCCCGGAAGCATTTGTTAGGATTCGAGAAAGTTTCGTTAACGGCGAAATCGGATACGTTGGTGAGGTTTAAGGTCGATGTCTGCAAGGATTTGAGTGTGGTCGATGAGCTTGGGAGCCGGAAAGTTGCATTGGGACAACATGTGCTACATATTGGCAGCTTGAAACACTCATTAACCGTGGGGATTTGAAAAGAAATTTTTTCAAAATCCACGTTATTTTTTCCTGGAATAAGTTGAGGGAGTTATTAGCAGTTTTCTCATTTGTTTTTTTCAAGTGTAACCAATTGTTGAAAGTTGAACATTTCGAAATCCCAAATTGAAAATAGAAAAAGGAAGCATTCACGACTTTGGCAAGATAGATTGTACAATTTTGTGGGCCAAAAATGCAAAAATTCCAGTTAACTAAAAGGTTTGAAGGATTTAATCTAAATTATTGTTTTTGGGAGGGGTTAGTTTAGCCATTTTCCCATTATCCTTTTTGTACTTTGCTTACTTGGCGCGCTGCTCTTCTTTGTCCCTCTTTCCCTCTGCCTACAGCAACAGTATATATATGCAAATCGCAACAACATTTTCCCCTTCAGCTTTTGAAATTCTCCAACGCTACTCTCTTTTAGGTAATTTTTCACTTTGAATTTCATTCTCCATTTTGCTTGTTCGTATCTAATGCTTCCTATAAGCTCATTTTTTATTTGATAACTATCGTCTTTTAGATTTGAATGAATGCACAATTCTTTTGTATATAGTGTTGCTGCTGCTTTTAGTTTAGGATCGAATTCGTTGAACTGCATCAACTTTTTCTTGCTTCTGTTTCAAATCCTTCTCGTCATCTTCAGTTTGCATGATTTTCCGTGTTGTGAAACGTTCTTGATCTCTTTCTCCTTTTCTAGTATAGAAACGGAACTTGTCGCCTCATCTATACCTCCAGGTTTCGCAATTCAATGTTCGTCGATAATTTTCTTTCGAAATGATTTGATGTTTTCTTTTTTTGAAATTTGAATTTTCAGCGAAAGTATGATTCAGTTCATCGCATCGATTCCAGTTTGTTGCTTAAAAAACTGATGATAAACTTTTTTGGCGGGAATCGTAACTTTTAAAAAAAAATTAAGAGAAACTGGAAATCACCAGAAAATTAACTCCGTTAATTTAAAATCATTAAACCTAGCACCTACATTTCAATCATAGTTCACATTTTTTTTTCTGTTGCTGATAATTGATGATTAATACGAAGCGACGACATTCAGATTCAATGGACTCGAACTTGTACAATGAAAGCAACAAACTCTAACGTCCTGAAGAGTAGCAATATTCCGAAGCTGGCGACGACTCCGGTAAGAAGCCGTGGAAACTACTATTCATCACCGGATAACCTCATCAAGTACCTCCGCTCCAATTCAGTGTCTAGTAGCGGCAACAGCGGCTCCAACGGGAAGAGCTGCTTCAGATCATCGGTTTCGCCCCAGTCGGAGAAGACACCACTCAAGGTGGTCGACGAAGATGTGTTTGTAATGGACGGAGTTCTTGTTGCTTCTGATGCTAATATCGTAGGATCAGCTTCTTCGTCTTCGGGAAGTACTGGTTTCTATAAAGCCGGAATTTTGCAGGCGTTGGGAGGAACTTAGCCATTGCCGATATGGATCCAAGCGTTAGGTATATTTCACTGCTGAATTGTCTAATATGATTGAAATTTTATGATTGCCTTAATGTTATAATACCTCTGCCTATATGCTAACAAACACCAGGTCTTTAGCCCCGTGAATTTCTTGGATAATAAAATGTGATATTTCACATCAATATTTGAGAATGTGTGTGAATATTAGATTGTAGTCATGAACCACCAACTTTTAAAATTCATTAGATGACAACTGAATACGAGGAGCATATTTCCCAGTAATAACCAAGGTAAGGGAACCGACTTTCGAACCTTGAAATTTCATTTACCATGTTATTGCAGTACAATTCCCAATTCTTATCTTTTAATCAAAACTACCTTTCCATTAGCTGATCCAAGTATCCAACTTTATGCACTACAATGACCCCTTTTTCTTTGTTGAACTCTTTTGGAATGTGTTCATCTTTCACTAACCTATTGAAGAAGCCTTAAATTATTTTGCAGTTTGAACATTGAAAGGAAGACGTACGCCCCACTTGTTTCCATTCAGGACCTAATCTGAGGTTAGCATCAATGAACTCGTATCTGATGATTATATTCCTATACTAAACCATTGGTGCACTTAATACTAGGTCATAGCACGTTTTGCCATGAAAATTTTAGATATTTTTATATTTTTATTCTTAAAATTTCATGTATTCATCTTCTAACATAAAATTCTATGTCCAATATGAATAGGTGTACAAGTCATATTGCAAGCACAGTGCAAAACACACACGGCTCCAAACCTCGGCTTTTACGTTCAGTCACAGAAACAACTCCCTTTATAATAACCCAAAAGGTCTCATCAACTAAACCTGATTATCCAGGCCCACGGTTCAGAACTCCCATCACGCCTGAAGGGTCAATCATCAACTCCCTCTCAACTGTCCAACCTGAAACCACCCGCTCCAATACCACAATGAAACCTAAATCCAACAAGATCAACGCCACCTCCACCACCACTTCCACCAATGGAGCCAACTGGTCACCTCAATGAGATCGACGTTAACCTGCCGCCATCATTTCCCGGCGAAAACCCATAAAGGGGGGGAGATATCGATGCATGCATTGACGGTGTTCTCTATGGTCCTAATACAAAGAAGCGGCTGCCGGTGTTTTCTGCCATTTGTCCGGAGTAATGATTCTCATTTTTTACTCTTCAGCTATGGATCAAAGGTATAATCAATATCTTCTTTCTCTGAACCAAATTACTATAGAAATTCTGGTCATCTGCTCTAACATCGAGGAGTGAACTGTAAAGATAATCAACCTTCTATGTGCATGTATTGGGCTCTGCGTATATAACCATTACGGTAGAATTTACGAACCAAAACCATAAAATTCTGTTGTTCTAATCTTTTGTCGACACATTCATGGATTTCAACATGTTGAAACCCCTCGCCCTTCTTCCCCGGTTCTAGTGTATTTTTTCAGGTTTTTCTTGCAGCTGCTTAGTTTTAGCTTTACTATTTAGTGATGGCGGTTTGTACTTTCGTTTCATTGCTTTCATAACCGCTCACTACTAGGTAGATCTTTTACTTAATGTTTATTAATTATTTTAAGGGTAAAGTACATAAAAGGTCCCCTAACTATATGATATTGATTTGATAAATCCCCGGCTATTAGAAGTTATAAAAATGGTCATCCGACTATTCAATATATTCCAAACTCATAATTTTTTGTTAAAAAGTTGACGACAACCCAAGCTATACATTAACCTACTGACTGAGATATGATAAAATATGATCTCATAATCTCAAATGATTATCATATATCGGTCAGCATGTTAACGTCCAACTTAAACGATCGTTAATTTTTTAACGGAAAATGACGAGTTTGGAATATAATGAATAGTCAAGTTAACATTTTGTAGCTTTTAATAGTCGAGGGACTCTATAAAGCACTATCATATAATCGAAGGACCATTTGTGTATTTTTTACCCTTATTTTAATTATTTATATTTAATTTATACACAGTTAATAAAATAAAAGCATCAAGATTTGAATCATTAATATTGTTTAAAAATTTTAATGCATTATCTTATTAAATCAACTGATCGCTGATATATTGATAAATTTTCGTTACACAAATTATATGTATATTTAACTTATAATAACGAAACTTTACGAGCGTAGTTAAAAAAAATCATCACATGTCATATTTATTTAACTTTTATATTTTAAGTATTAATTAAAAACATATTACGATTTTTGTTTGATGAATAATTCTAAAGAGGAAATGATTAATATAATATCGACATGAGATCTAATATTAATTAGAACACTCCGGTGTATATACACACTTGAACTCAAAACTTCAAACATCTAAATGAATAATATATATTTTTTATCATAAGGTCACTTAATTAGTATAAACATGATCAAATGTTAAATAACTAACCATTTTACTGAACTTATAATCGAACTAATAAAGAATTTCTTAAAAAAACTAAATTAAATATACTTTTATTTAAAAATTATTCGTTTATTCAAATTATTAAACATAAACTCATAGTATATAAACTATTTATAACTAAAGATAAATTACGTATTTAGTACCTAAACTATTAATTTTGATCTTTTTTAGTATATAAACTTTCAATTTTTTCAAAATCATATCTAAAGTTTAGTTTTTGTTTCATTTTAGTACTCGTCGCTAAAAACTTAGTTTTTGTTTTATTTTAGTACGCCGTTCAAAATTTAACGTCAAATTTTTTAAAACAAATTGAAAGTTTAGGTACTAAAATAGATCAAAACTGATAATTTAAGTCATAAATACGTTAAATTTTTAATGACATGGTACTAAAATAAAATAAAAACTAAATATTAAATATAATTTTAAAAATAATTAAAAGTTTAAGTATTAAAATAGATCTAAACTTATATGCTCAGAGTTTACCTTATAATTAAATTCGTCCAAGAATCTATTCGAATGAGATATGTCCAGTCTCGAGCCATGTCAATTCTCCGCTAAAGAAATCATTAGTAAAGTGAAATACAAACACTGTCCGAATTTGACTATTATAGATACTCCAGGGCTTATTGCTCCTGCTCCTGCTCGGACTAATCATGCTTTGCAGGTGTTTTCTCAATCCACCAAGTATTTCTAGTTAGTTTTGTTCCATAAATTTCTGTAATTGTGATTCTTGTATTTGGTGGTGAGTGGTAACATGCAAGCAGAGCCAAGCGCGAGCGGTGGAGTCCTTAGTGAAAACAAAGATGCAGCATAAAGAATTCATTATATTATGCCTTGAAGATTGTAGTGACTGGAGTAATGCAATGACAAGGAGGGTTGTAATGCAAGTATGTAGTTTCTCTTGTTGCCAAGTGTTTATAAAGTGTTATGTTTTGACTCAATGAATGTAGGGTTGAGAATGTGAGGAGGCTATTAGTTCTTAAGAGGGTCAAAGCCAAAATACTACTCTTCAAATATGGTGTCTTTTAAAGAAATAAGCAAGATGAAAAACGGAGAGAGGATAATTACTTGCAATGAAGATAGTTCGTCAAGGAACCGAATTAGAAGAGTTGGAAGTGATTTGTACTTTCAAGCTGTTTGATTGATACAATGCTAAATAATCTAGCAGCTAATATAATATTTGGCATTCTTAATAATAGCTAATGTTAGCTTTAGCTGCTTGGTTTTCTGGTATTATGAACTACCTCTTGTATATAGTTGCAAAGAAGGGAATTGGTTTCGGTTATTATGAATTTATGATGCTGCAAAGCTTAACATTTTGTTGGTTGATACTTGATTAAGGTTGATCCAGAGCTTTCAAGAACTGTCATTGTCTCTACCAAACTTGATACCAAAATTCCTCAGTTTGCACGTTCTTCTGATGTGGAAGTTTTTCTCTCTCCACCTGCATGTACGCTTGATGGCTTCATATTGGGCAACTCTCCTTTCTTTACATCTCTGCCTTCTGGAAGAGTTGGTTCTGAGCATGATTGCGTTTACAGTTCAAATGAAGAGTTTAAACGGGTTTGCTCCTGCTTCCAGTAAAATCATGGAGTTGATTATGGTACCGAGACGTTTTTTCTTCTTTTGTGGCATATGCTTAGTCTCGTTGTTCTTATTGATACTTGTTTCCTTCCCTTTAATGGTGGATAATCTAGTTTGCTGGGGGGGAATATCTAAAGGGTCCTCACAGATAAAGGGGCATAAAACTGTGAAGCTTAAAGATTTTCTTTTTAAAGTCGTCATATAATAAAATACTATCTCCATGCTGTTGAGAAATAAACGAGTAACAAGTAATTTCCCTATAGCCAGATTAGTGAGAATACGAAATAAAAGCGGAAAAATAATACCCGAAAAATTGATAACGAAGTTCAGCCAATTGTGCTTACGTCTCCGGACTGCTGGAGATCTTTTACTAAAGAGAAAAAATTACAGGTGTTTACAAAACACACTTGAGAGAGAACTGAAAGATTTTAGGATGATTTTGAAGCTAAATGGGCTAGGGTATTTATAGTTAAAGCTTAAGGACTAATTTTGTAAATACCCTAAAGTGTACAATGGCTAAATGTGTAATTAACCCTATTACAATTTAATTAAAAAAATTGGGGCACCGAATTCGGTGCCCCCTTTTGTTGAAAATTATCAGCCTGTGCACTGTGCCTCCCTCATTTTTCCATTTTTGGTGGCCTCTCTTGGCCTACCTCTTGACTTTACAATCTCCCACTTGAAGACTGATTTTAATCTGTCTTCATACCTCGATCAATGCAGCAACATTTCTAGTCTTGTTACTCTAGCATGCTGTAGACACCCGTTTTTGACCGGGTTTTATATTTCTATTATTATAATTTATTTATTATTATTAATAATTTCTTTATTTTATTTTTTGTAGGAACCCATGTTCAAACCTACTACTCCACCACTACCCACTACCCAAAAATAAGGGAACCTTTATTGTTATCTCCACCATTTCAATACCCCCACAACGTCCATAATCTGACCACCCACCTCTCCATAATTATTGGCCCCATGTTCACCACTTTCATCACTTTTAAAAGACCTACTCCTAAATAAAAAAGGGGGGTTATTTTTAGAGGGAGAAAAGATGACAGCTTTCCCTTCATTTATTTATCTCGAAAAAAGAACATGATCCCAGATTTTCCTCTGATGGAAATCTGATAAGGGGGGGGGAGACGGAGGACAGTAAACCAAGGGGGGAATTGAAGGGGGTCCACGTGAAGAGGGTTTCATTCAGGGCAGCTAACTTGAGACGATTAACCTCCACAAAACAAAACACCTTGAATACAAAGGCAATGGCCAAGGCACTGATCATCACATATGGCGCCTTTTATAAATATCGCTCTGCTTGTGGCTCCTCACATGCTCTGGGATCATTCTTGTTCCTACTTTTTGAAGACCAAAGAAACGACCCTTCCAGGAGTTTGCAACCAATTGATTAGTTGCGGATGGTCTAGCTCGTGCATTCCTTGGATTCTCTTCATATTCCATCTCTTCATCGATGCTGCTGGTTCGGTCGGGATTAACTACGGTCGTGTCGCCAACAACTTACCGTCGTCGGGAAAAGTCGTCGAGCTGTAGAAGTCCCGGGGAAATAAACCAGAATACGCATTTTTGCACCTCAAGGTCGAACCCATACAATGGAATCACTTCAACTGATTTCATCGAAGACTGGGTTAAGATTGAAATGCCCACAAGTACAAAGGTTATAGTAAAACATACGACGAGCAACGATTTGAAAAAATCGGAAGGAGAAAAAGAAAACAGAGAGAATAAGGGGGATCCGAACAATTAACTGAAAGAAAAGACATGGAAGAACAACATACCTCGAAACAGTTACGATCCAATGGCGGAATGATCAGATCGGATTAGTGAAAAATCGAAAGGTTTTTTTTGGCTTTTTCGTGGAGTTGAAGGCCACTTCTCGCAAAACCGGGGACGGATTCGAATTGTTGGCGTTGAGACGAACTTTCCTTTGAAGTTTGAAACTAAACGGCGGAGAGTGACTGCGAGCGGCGGTTCACCTATTCCCGGCGAAAGCATTGTAACATTCTCTCTCTCGCTCTCTCTCTCTCTCTGTATTTTACGTGAAGCAGTGAGATGATCCCTTATTTGTGTTTTGTTTATGAACATGTGTTTAATGCATTGATTAAATTAAGCCATTAACCATTTTAGTTTTAAATGAAGTTTGATGTAGCTTCATTCTCTTGAATTGTAACACTTTGGTCCCTGTGTTAATTTCACTTTAACTCTAACGTTTGTTTGCGCCTTAATTATAGTTCATGTGTTATGAATCTTTAGCCATCATTGAGTACATTTTAATTCAGGCTTTACTAAAAACCTTTTTTTAATCTATTTGATATTTCTTTATTATTTTTATTTTTCAATTTGACATTCATTTTGCCATTTTTAGTAATAATCTCAATCGATCAAAGGTAAGCAACTCGAATCGAATTTTTAAATTTTAATTTTTCGCAATTAAAGACAACTGGAAATTACATAGTACCGAAAGGGCGGTTCAAGGGTGCTAATCCTTCCTTGACCGTAACCGACTCCCGGATCCGACATATCACTGGTAAGACGCAGACCATGTAAGAAATAAGGTATCCGATCAACCCACTTTTCGTAAAGTAAATGATCGGTGGCGACTCCAATCCACATTTTTCAAGTCGAAGCCCAATTCCGGGGCCCGACCGAAAGACGATTTCGACAGCTTCCTTCATCGGGAAGTTGAAATCCAATGTAAGTTACGCTGTTTCGAGGCCAATATCCTTCGCCGTGAAGTTGAAATTGACTCTGAAACTCATGCCAACTGAAGTTGTTTGTCCGTGGTCACCGTCTTTGTCAACATGTCTGCCGGATTTTGAGCTCCACTAATCTTTTCAAGTTTCAAAATCCCATCTTCCAGAAGAGACCGGATAAAATGATATCGCAATTGTATGTGCTTCATCCTGGAATGAAAAGACAGATTCTTCGCTAGATGGATAGCATTTTGACTATCGCAATACAAGACATTGTTTTCTTGTTTCTTGCCTAACTCTTCCAAAAAACTTTGGAGCCAAACCATCTCCTTGTTGGCTTCCGTAACAGCGACATATTCTGCTTCAGTTGTGGAAAGAGCAACTATCTTCTGTAGTTGAGAAACACAACTCACTGCGGTTCCTCCTAGAGTATAGACATACCCTGTAGTGCTCCTTCTGATGTCAACATTTCCGGCTAAGTCAACATCTACATAGCATGTCAGTATCGTATCTCCACCTTTGAAACAAAGTGCTTTGTTTGTGGTACCCCGCAGATATCTGATGATCCATTTGACTGCTTCCCAGTGTACCTTGCCCAGTTTATTCATGTACCTGCTAACAGCTCCCACTGCTTGAGCAATATTTGGTCTGGTACAAACCATGGCATACATCAGACTTCCAATTGCTGAGGCATACGGCACCTTCACAATGTGTGCACGTTCTTCCTCCGTCTTTGGTGACTGTTCTTTGGAGAGTCTGAAATGAACACCTAAAGGTGTACTTACTGGTTTAGCATCTTGCATGTTGAACCTGGAGAGTACTTTGTTGATGTACTCAGCCTGTGATAATATCAAAGTCCCCGACTTTGTGTCTCTCTTGATCCTCATCCCAAGATCTGCTTTGCAATGCCCAGATCCTTCATAGCAAACTGCTTCGACATTTTTTGCTTCAAGTTTATAATCTCTTGCATGTCTGAGCTTGCAACGAGCATGTCATCAACGTACAACAATAAAATAATGAAGCTATTGTCGAACCTCTTGATGTAGCAACAATGATCTGCTTGGCATCTGGTAAAACCATTGCTACCCATGAAGCTATCGAACTTCTTGTACCACTGTCTAGGAGCTTGTTTTAAACCATACAAGCTCTTCTTCAACTTGCATACCAGGTTTTTGTTTCCTGCCTCTATGAAGCCTTCTGGCTGCCTCATATAGATTTCTTCCTCCAAATCACCATGAAGGAAAGCTGTCTTTACATCTAACTGCTCAAGATGTAAATTTTCTGTAGCTACAATTTTCAACACCAGTCTGATTGTAGACAGTTTTACAACTGGAGAGAAAATTTCATTGTAGTCAATACCTTCCTTTTGTTGAAAACCTTTACAACCAATCTTGTTTTGTAGCATTTGCTCCCATCGCGCTCTTCTTTGATCCTGTAAATCCACTTGTTGTGGAGCGCTTTCTTGCCTGATGGTAATTCAGCTAATTCCCACGTCTGATTTGACATAAGCGAGTCCATCTCATCTTTCATGGAAGACTCCCACTTGACTGAATCCTCCACTTGCATTGCTTCATCATAGCACTCTGATTCACCATTGTCAGTCATCAACAAGTAGTGCAAAGAAGGAGAATACCGTTGGGTTGGTTTAGGAATTCTGGAGGAGCGTCTCAGTTCTGGTGTGACTGGTTCTTCTTGAACAGCTTCAGGACTGATCTGAACATCATTTCTAGAAATCTCCTCGAACTCAGCAAATTCCTTTGTTTCAGCTTCGGTATTGGAGCTATTTGATTTTATGGTTGACCTGTCTTTGTACATCACATTCTCATTGAAAATGACATCTCTGCTTCTGATGATCTTCCGATTTTCGTAGTCCCAAAACCGGTAACCGAACTCATCATTGCCATAACCAATAAAGGCACATTTGTTGGACTTAGCATCAAGTTTACTTCTTTCAGTAGAGTCTATGTGTACATAAGAAATACAACCAAACACTCTTAAGTGTGAAAGGTTTATTTCTTTCTTGCTCCAAACTTCCTCTGGTATTCTTCCATCCAAAGGAACTGAGGGCCCACGGTTGATCAAGTAAGCTGCAATGTTGATAGCTTCAGCCTATTGAAATTTGGGCAATCCGGCATGTATCCTCATGCTTCTGGCACGATCATTCAGAGTTCTGTTCATGCGCTCTGCTACGCCATTATGCTGCGATGTCATGGGAACTGTTGTCTCCATCTTGATCCCATTATTTGCGCAGAAATCTCTGAATCTTCTATTTTTGTACTTTCCTCTATTGTCAGACCTCAACCGCTTGACTTTCAAACCAGTCTCATTTTCCACCATGGCCTTCTATTTTCTGAAGGTATCAAAGACTTCTGATTTCTTCTTCAGAAAATAAACTCACACATTCCTTGTAGAATCATCGATGAAGGTGACATAATATAATGAGCCTGCAAGAGATGGAACTGGAGATGGTCCCCATACATCAGTATGAACCAACTCTAACTTTTCAGCCTTGGGTGTCTTACCATTCTTTGCAAAGCTGACTTTCTTTTGTTTGCCAAAGATGCAATCCTCGCATAGTCCGGCATCTACATTCTTTAGATCCGGCAGCTTCCCTTTTGATAAAAGTGTCTTCATCCCTTTCTTGCTCATATGACCAAGCCTTTGGTGCCATAGGTTTGATTTTCCATCAGCATCTGCGGCTGCAATGATATTCTCTAAATTTGAAGTTACATAGAGAGTATCAGTCTTCTTACCACGAGCAATGACGAGTGCTCCTTTGGTAATCTTCCATTCACAGCCTGAAAAGGTTATACTATAACCTTCTCCATCAAACTGTCCTATAGAAATCAGATTTCTTTTGAGGCCAGGAATATGTCTCACTCATGTCAGCTTCCAGGTGGTCTGGTTTGGCAGCTTTAGTCGGATGTCTCCTTTTCCGACGATCTTCAAACTTTCATCATCAGCTAGATGAACCTTCCCAAAATCACCATTGACATAGTTCTCCATGATTTCTTGGCATGAGGTGGAGTGGAAAGATGCCCCTGAATCCAAGATTCATAATTCAATCGGACTGTTGACGCTTAGAATCATGGCATCACCTGTCTCCTCTGTCACGTTGGCAAAATCTTGTGCGCCGGTATTTTTCTTCAGTGCTCGGTAATCTCTTTTAAAGTAACCATTCTTGCCGCAGTTATAACAGGTAAAATATTTCTTTCCTGTTATTGATTTTCCCCTTCTGGATTTTGATCTGCCACGATTTGAATTTCTTTCTGAAGTTCTCCCTCTAGACTCCGTGTGCAAAGCTGAGGAGGTTGATGCTTCACCCGATTCTCTTCGTTGAATTTCTTCACTCAATACTAGATCCCGAACATCGTCAAATTTTAATTTGCTGTTTCCCGACGAGCTGCTGACTGTTGTAACAGTAGCATTCCAACTGTCTAGTAGAGATGATAGGAGAATTAAAGCTCGAACTTCATCATCGATTCAATTTCCACTGAACTCAACTGGGTTGTGATTGTGTTGAGTTCATTCAGGTGTTGTGCCATCGATGCCCCTTCCGTCATCCGCAAATTGAATAATCGCCTCATCAAATGAACTTTGTTTGAGGCTGAAGGCTTCTCATACATACTGGAGAGAGCCGCCATAAGACCCGCCGTGGTCTTTTCCTTTGCTATATTGAAAGTAACATTGCGGGATAACGTCAGTCGGATAACTCCGAGGGCTTGTCTGTCGAGAAGAGCCAGTTTTCATTCTTCATGCTCTCTGGTTGCTTTCCTGAGAGGGGTTGATATAGATTTTTCTGGTACAAAAAATCTTCAATCTGCATCTTCCAAAAGTCAAAGTCTGCACCATCGAACTTTTCAATTTTCACCTTCCCTTCGTTTGCAGCCATCGCTCCCACTCGAATCTGGATCGTTTCTGACAATTCTTGCGAACCATCGTGTATTAGAACACCTCCGTCGACAAATTCGTATCGCCGAAAAAATTTTACTATTCCTGAAATTTACTATTCATGTGAACAGTAATGAATAGTAACCTCGCAAAAAATTGACAAAATTTATAACCAAAAGCTTTGATTACCAATTGTTGGGAAATAAACGAGTAACAAGTAATTTCCCTATAGCCAGATTAGTGAGAATACGAAATAAAAGCAGAAAAATAATACCCGAAAAATTGATAACGGAGTTCAGCCAATTGTGCTTACGTCTCCGGATTGCTGCAGATCTTTTACTAAAAAGAAAAAATTACAGGTGTTTACAAAGCACACTTGAGAGAGAACTGGAAGATTTTGGGATGATTTTGAAGCTAAATGGGCTAGGGTATTTATAGTTAAAACTTAAGGATTAATCTTATAAATACTCTAAAATGTACAATGATTAAATGTGTAATTAACCATATTATAATTTAATTAAAAAATTAGGACACCGAATTCTGTGCCCCTTTTGTTAAAAATTATGAGCCTGTGCACTGTGTCTCCCTCATTTTTTTCATTTTCGGTGGCCTCTCTTGGCCTACCTCTTGACTTTACAAATGCTGTACACCATAATGTACTGGAACATTAGACCATACTTCTCTCTTATTTGATTTCTCATGCAAGCAATACTAACTAGAGAGGTGCAAGACATAGCATCTTTGGAGGAGAAATTAGGTCGGCAATTGTCAAAGCAAGAAAGAAGTAGAATAGGTGTAAGCAAACTTAGGCTTTTTCTAGAAGAATTGTTACAGAAAAGGTATATGGATAGCATTCCTTTGGTCATTCCTCTTCTTGAGAAGGAGTACCACAGCACAACAAGAAAGCTAACTGAAATAAATAAGGAACTCAGGTTTGTCGTTGAACTTGTTTAGCATATTTCTTTTTTGGCAATTTTAGATGGACTTTGTTAAAGCCTTTTTACTGCTTAAAAGAAGATGATGATTTGCGGTGTAGGGAATCAAATATTTGATTTGTGGCCTGATACTTTTATAGACCTTGATTGAGTCATGTATCTTAGATTGCAATGCATTCATTTTCTTTTTCCCATAACCAATTCATTGTTTCCATCACATGCAGCACTTTGGATGAAGTGAAATTGAGGGAAAGAGGAAGAGCTTTTCACGATTTATTTCTGACCAAGGTTTCTATGTACTCTTATGCCTCTTTTGGTTTGTTACTCTTTTCTTGTTTCTTCTTTCTTTGCGAAAACGTGGGACCGTTTGAAGGTCATATAATTTTTTATGGAATGAATCATGAACGTTGACATTACTTATGTTCAAAATTGTTGTTCCATTTTGTTGTTATGCATTCTGACTTGAATTTGCTGTATTACCCAGTTGTCCTTGCTTCTGAAAGGGACAGTTGTTGCGCCGCCAGATAAATTTGGTATGTTTCTAGTGAAGATATCTCTTGTTTTTGTAAATTAATCGTTCCAGATAGTGATGCTGGATAGCTAACAGTTCTGCAATGACTCATTACAGGTGAAACACTAGTAGATGAGAGAGGTAATGGAGGAGCATTTGTGGGTGCCGATGGTCTTCAATTGCCACACAAGATAATACCTGTAAGCTAAAGAGACGGTTAACTTTAAATATTCTTGCAAACTGTTCTTTTCAATGTATTTCTTGTTTTGGTTCTACTATTAAGTTGATTTTTCTATCAACTTGATAGATATCCCGATCCCCATACCTGTGAGAAAAATTTTCCAGACTTGTGTCATGTGGGTTTCATTGGTAGTTTAGAACTCTGGAATGCGTCTTTATGGAGGTGCACAATACCATCGTGCAATGGCTGAATTCCGATTCATTGTGGGAGGGATAAAATGCCCACCAATTACAAGGGAAGAAATTGTCAATGCTTGTGGTGTTGAAGATATTCACGATGGGACAAATTACTCAAGGTATGATCTATTTACGGCTTGTCATATATTTTTTTTGTTTTCATTTCGTGTGCAGTAAACCGTTTCGAGCTATTTCTTTCCTCTTCGTTTTGGAAATCAGGACAGCTTGTGTTATAGCAGTTTCAAAGGCTCACGACACTTTTGAACCTTTCCTCCATCAGGTGGAGTGACATTAGCTGTTTATATCTTTCAGTTATTCTTTTTCTTTTCGCGTTTCTCTGTTGCTTTCTTGTTGTCAACTTAATTAATGGTTGCGAAATACTTTAAAATTTGAAATCGACAGATAAAAACTTCGATTTTGTCGGCTTGATATTTGTTACTGATGTCCTCTAATTGAGATTTTTCTTTTCCTTGTATAGTTGGGTTGTAGGCTCTTGTACATTTTGAAGAGATTACTTCCTATCTCTATATATCTTATGCAGGTTTGTGCTCTTTTTTTCCTTCTAATTTTCTATGCTTGGAGAATCTAGGACTAACATGTAGTTAATTATTGCTCTTTTTATCATGATTTGTACTTTCAAATGTTTCATGATTTCCAACAGAAAGATGGAGAATTTTTAAGTGGACACAAGGTATTTCTCAGGCGCGTTGCTTCGGCTTTCAACAACTTTGCTGAATCTACTGAACGAGCTTGCCGTGAGAAGTACGTTACTTCCTCTATTGCCCCCAAATTGTTTTTGTTAACCTTAATTTGTATTGGATTGTTCGATAACTTGTTTCAGCCTCCATTCTTACTATTGAATTGTTTGTTACTGAAAAGCAATAAACAATTTCTCAAAAAATAAAAGTACCAAACAAAGAATGCTATCGTTTGGAGTGTTTCTGATGATTCATATTCTTTAATCTAAGCTGTATAACTTTATGAACCCTAAAAATACATACTAATGATTACTAAAGTCAAGATGCTGAAGCTTCTTAGTCTCCAAATATTACCCAGAGTTTCGTATTTGTTGCAGATGTTTGGAGGATTTAGTGAGTACAACCCGTTACGTATCCTGGTCCCTCCACAATAAGGTAAGTTACTTATGAGGCACATGGAATTTCATGCAAGTGAAGCTACTCTAGTTAAGAGTACTCTTAAAATTTGCTATCCAGAAGCCTAATATTTCTTGTATAGGAACGGGCCATCGTTAATGTGCACACGTTCGATTTTATAGTTATGTGTCTACTGCAACTACTTCTTGTAGCTAAAATTCTTGCAATTCCTCCACCCTTTGTGTTCCATATTGCTTTAGGAATTATCATCGACTATCGAATTTTGAACCACATGCATGCATTCTGTGATATGGTGGATCATCTGACCTATTTCTCTGCTCATCTTGCATTGCATGTTGAATTTTCAGAATCGGGCTGGGGTTCGTCACTTTTTAGACTCATTTGGTGGAACCGAGTCATCCAGTGTAGCAGCCAATTCCATACCTCCTGGAAATTCCCAAGAGTCATCGCCTGTGTCCGTTGCTGCAGAGAAGCACGGCACCAAGCCAAGAGCAGATACAAAGCTCAGTCATATACATTCGAGCATTGATTCATACTCTTCCTCTCAGACAGCCGAAACAAAACTCGCCGACCTTCTAGATAGCACACTTTGGAACCGGAGGCTTGGTTCTTTCATCAGAAAGGATTGTTTATGCATTGGTACACCAAATATTTCATGGCATAAGAGAGTATTTTTTGGCCTCTGCTGAATTACAGGTTTGCTTCAAAGCTGATTTCTCATTAGCTATACGCATAATGCATAAAAATGGAAGTATGGAACACCAATTATATTTCACCGACTTCTCATCACCGGTGTAGTTCTTCGTTATTTCATCATTATTTACGTCAACGTTTTGCAGTTCAACTGCTTTCTTCTAATGCCAGTAGTGGACAAATTACCTGCACGTCTCCGGGAGGACCTGGATTCAACATTTTCCGATGACATGGACAATGCGTTCGACATCAGCAATCTGCGGCACTCTTTGGCCCAACGAAAGAGAGATACAGAGATTGAACTCAAAAGGGTATTCCGCATCTATCTAGTTTCCTTTACAATCATAGCCAGGGATGGACCGAGGGGCAGGTGGGAGCAGCCCCCCCGAGATCATGGCATGCTTTTCTTTTTTTCTGATCGACTCGTCATACGAATGACTATGTTGCAGATTAACAGGCTCAAAGACAAATTCAAGGTAATACATCAGCAACTTAGTTCGTGTCCAAGTTTGTTACCTGCATGTGTTGATTGATTCAGGTCCAAATTTGAGAACATAATCGATTGCTTAGGCTGCATGCAGTTGTTTGTTTGGAAATGAAATGGATATCAATCATTTACTTTTTAGGGAAAATAATTATCATTATGACTCTAATGCTTTGAAACTCTTACGATTTAATCTCAACCTTAACTTTGATATTTCTTTACTAAGGACCAAATATCATGCTTCAACTAGTCTAGTATTATTAATTAATTTAATAATTGACTCGATCTTTGATATTAAAATAATAATTTAAATCAAAATGCAATACCGGAAGTTTTAGAGTGTTATGTTGTTTGAATTTCATTTTACTCTACTCAAATTAAAAGAATGGTAAACTATGACTTTAGTACCTAAACTATCGATTTTGTCTGTTTTAGTATTTAAACTTTTATTTTTTTTAAAATTATACCTAACGTTTAGTTTTTGTTTCACTTTAGTATTTGTCGTTATAAACTTAATGGATAGACTCACTGTCTATCACTGACCGTCGTGTCTATAGTCTTTAGCCCTCGCATCCATCGGCCAATGAAGCCCAGACTTTTTAGTCCGCACCTTTTCGACCCTTTGAACGAGATTTCGGCCTCTGTTTAATCAAGAAATGCCTCAATCTCCCCAAATCGAGTACGGACTCTTTGATTTCTTCATCATTCGATCTCCATAGTCCATTGTTCGATGGGCTTGAAATAAGACTATGTTGGTCGACTTGTAATTCTCTCATGACCCATTATTCGGATTGATCGTTCGTTCATCGAAACTATGGCACACCAGCCCGTCCGTTAAGATTTTAACGGTGAGATACTAAAATGAAACATAAACAAAACGTTAGGTATGGTTTTGGGGGGAAATGAAAGTTTAGGTATTAAAACGTACCAAAACTTATAATTTAGGTATTAAATGTGTAATTTAACAAAAAAAAACATATAGAACGAACTCGTTGACTCAACCAATTCAAATTTCATCATTTAACTTGAACGAACTCTCACCTCTAATTCCTTTAAGTGAAAGATTTCAACTAACCATATTTGAACCTTGGAGACACAAAGAATCTAAATTTATAAATCTTTACAAAGTTCTATCATTACTGATAGTCGGTTAGTCTAATGGGGATAAGATACTAGAATTTTTAAACGAGGTAAGAATTTTGATTCCCAACGTTTACGAATAGAACAATCTTAGTTGGGAGAGATACTCTCGCCTTTACAGTACCTGATTTGAGTTAATTGATGAATAAATCGAAAATCAGTGATTAATTAAAAAATTCTATCATTGATATCGCTATTATTGTAACAACCTACAGACGATAATTTTAAGCACAATTGAATCAGGAGTCGTCCACTCAAAAATCACAAATCTTTACTAAAAACTAGACACGTGTACGCAGTGGATTATCCACGTTTTGGAACCAAGGTGATACATTAAATCTTCGGTAAATTATGTATTTAGTACATAAATTATCAGTTTTAGTATCTAAACTTTCGATTGTTTAAAATCATACCCGACGTTTGTTTTTTGTTTTATTTTAGTATCCTTTCGTTAAAAACTAGATGCATTTAGTACCTAAATTATCATTTTTTGTCTGTTTTAATACCTAAACTTTCAATTTTTTTCAAAACTTCACGTTAAATTTTGAACAGGATACTAAAATGAAACAAAAACTAAATTCTATATATGATTTTGAAAAAATTGAAAGCTTAGGTACTAAGACATATCAAAATTGATAGTTTGGGTATTAAACTACAGATCTGATTTTGAAAAAATTGAAAGTTTAGGTACTAAAACATACTAAAACATACTAAAACTGATAATTTAATTACTAAATTCATAATTTACCCTTAAATCTTTAACAAACAATTTGTTAATTTGCACTTGTATGGCGTAAACCTACATTTTTTTGAATGAAAAATATCTGTCTTCTCAGATGAAAACCATCGTGTTGGGTAATGTTTAGAATTATTTTTATATTCATACTTTTATATATTTAATTAAATTTAAATAAAATAATTTATTTTTTAGGTAAATCCCTATATATATCTTCAACATCCCGTTCGAAAAAATAATTTTATTTAAATTTCACTGATTTTAATTTAATTTGATATGAAAAGATTATTTTAAAAAAAATTAATTTTGAGTCGGGTCGAGTTGTATTTTGTAAAGGTTAAGGTTAAATCAATTTGAGTTTATGTTAAAATATTTTCGATTTGATCCAGTCTGAGATAATAGCATAATTTTTTTCTATAAATTTAAGAATAATTGTTATAATATTTTTATTTTTTTTACATTTTTTAAATTGGGTTTCTATTTTGTATAATAAAAATATTATTTTGTATTTTCGACAAATCAAATCGAGTTGGTTGTAAATTTTTATCCTAAAATTTAGATTGAATTTTGAAATATGAATTTAAAAAGATATGTTTATCGAATTTATTGAGTGGTCTTAGCGGTTAAAAACAAAGTTATTATTTCTAAAGGTCATGGATTCGAGCAGTTGCATTTACCGTTGTATATTATGAATGATTAAGAAAGATCCTGAATAAATATTATATATGTGTCAGGTCGAATCGAATTTATCGGATCTAATCCTGCATCTTACCATCTCTACTTCTACTGTTACATTACTTGAATTATATTGTATTCATGATAAGCTTAACTTTCAATTTGATTGCTTTCATGAATGATTCAATTTCATTTCCAAATGCTTCCTTGAGGTCTTTTCAGATGGGATCTTGTTAATCTATTTCTAAGCGAACTTTTTTTTTATTAATAAGGTTTAATACCAAAATAAGTGTTCAAACTATATTGTTTTTTTTCCAAATAGGTATCTAAACTATTTTTGACATATTCAATTGCTTAAAGTTACAAACGTTACCCATTTAGGTGCTCGGGCCATCAACAACATTAATTTCCCCTGTTAAATTACATGTGCCACAATCCGGTGATTTTGAAATTTATATTTTAAAAAATTGTTATACTTATAAAAAAACCTAATTTCTCTTAAATTGTAAAATAGCTCCCAAATCTCTAAAATCTCCATATCCTAACCTTAACCCGACACCTCCGTCCTTTTCGGCCACGACAGCTGCCGACATAGTCCCGGTCATATTCCTAGTCATACATTGTTGTAGTTGTCGCCGATTGGTCGTCGGAATCGTGTGAGATCACGATTTTCAACCTAGGGTTCGGGCTATAAAACGTCGATTCATCGTCGATCGACCGCCTATCGATCATGATTTCATAGGGGTTTTGTCGCCATGGGGAGGGGAGGTCGGATGGAGCTTCGTCGACACAAAGTTAGCGACCGACATAGGTTTAGGGGTTGAAATGAAGGTTTTCAAAGTTTGGGTTTATTTCAAAATTTGTGTTTTCATTTTTTAAAATATATATTTTTAATTTTTTTAATTTTAAATAAAAATTTTAAATTTATCAGATTGTCACACATGTCACTTAACGGGAAAATCAACACCGTTGACGGCTTGAGCACCTAAATAAATAAGTAACGCTCGTACAGTTAAACACTTAGATGAGTTAAAAAATAGTTTAAGTACCTATTATAGAAAAAAGATATAATTTGGACACTTGTTTTGATATTAAGACTATTTATTACGACATAAATATACACTCATCTTTACACTCGGAACCATTCCACTTCCAAGTCTAATACGGCTATGGTTAATCCATTTGATATTTGAGTGATGGTTGGCTTAATACTAAATATCATACTCATACATCATGCGTGTATATATTTATATGATACAAAACCCTTCTTAGCATACGCCAACATTAATTAATTATATACTTCATAAATATAGAATGTTAAGATATATTATACTCTTAAAAAAAACTAATAGTGTTGGTCGAAGTAGTAAACAACTTGATGTTGTTTAAGTATGTCTCGAATTTGAGTCTTTATATATAGAAAATCTTCGCTGAAAAACTCATTTACTAATGTTAAGTGCGTGACCCGAGAAAAAATGGGGAAAAAAACGGAGAGATACAGTATTGCAAGTGGTGGCAAGAGATAACATGAAAATCAATGTATGGATGGAAGGAAAGAAAGAAAGAAAGATGGATAAGAAGAAGTGATTTCGAGGAGAAATATTGGTGCGGCTGCCATTGCTGCATTTGGGACTGCCATCCAATAACCATTTATATAAATGACTCGTGCAACCCATGCACCAATTTTCTCCCTTAGCTTCGTCTTTTTATTATAGTTGGACGAGAGAAATTAAAGATTGAGATTGTCATTTATATACATTCACTTATATTTAGTGTAAAACTCTTAGTTTTATGCCTTTTATGATCGTCGAATGATGAAAATCAAAGGTTAAGATTAATTTCTTTTTTTAATGAATATCTTCTCAGCCTTTGATTTCATTTCATTCAATGATCCTAAAAACATGTAATATATATACATATGCAAGAAGGGATAGTGTGCTATGAGGTCTTTGTCCTTCAACTCCTTAGGGTGCGTTTAGTTTACGAAATGGAAGATTATCAGTGAGAATGTAAGATTACCAGTGAATAGGATTACTGAGAATGTTGTATTTTGTGTTTGGTTGGTTTAGTAGGAATGTAAGATTACCGTGTTTGGTTAAAGGAATAAAAGATTATTGGAATGTATATTTGACCAAATTATCCTTATTATATATTTGTTTTTTTAACAAGTTGGAAAATATTTATATATTTTCTTTAAAAATTTAAATTCATAAAATTTATATATATTTTTTTACAAAATTGAAAATATAAAAAGGTTTAATGAAATGGTAAAATTTTATTTTAACCCCTGAACTTCATATAAAATTTTAATTATAGATTTTTTTTGTAAATCTAAAATAGTTTAAGGATAAATTTGTAATTTAACTTTCGTACAATTTTTATTATTCAATGACAGAAAAATGATATTTAAAAAAAATTAAGGGTATTTTAGTCCAAAACGCCGGGAATCCAACAATACCTAAGGAAAAG